ATATTAAGATCTCAAATGTTATTTTTGAGTTATTTCTGTCTTTCTGAAGTCATGTCTATAGTTAAAGTGAGGAAGAGACAATTTACTACAGAATTCATTTGAAAGGAAGAAAAGAAGAGGGGGAAAGAGAGAAGGAAAGGAGGAGGAGGAAAGATTTTTTTTCTTTTTCTTTTTTTACTAATTGAATACTTTATTGAACACATAAAATACCAAAAAAATGCATTCAAATGCTTTCTAAAAAGTCAATTTTAAAGGCCCTTCTATTGAGGCTAATGACAAATACAATAAAGGCAGATATGCTAGTTCAACATAATTGGCCAATTTTCTACAGCACTTTATGTTTGAGTCTACAAGTATATTATTAACTGACAGAGAACATCTGATATGCACATTTCTATAAAACTAGGAAATAAATTTCTGAGAAAGGAAGATTTTTGTAGACCTCATCTTTTATACACAACTCCAACAAAGAGGGGAGAAAAAGGGAGGGAGAGAGGAAATGAGGAAAGAAGGAAGAAGGAAGGAAGGAAAAAGAAGAGATGAAGAGAAAGCAAGAAAAGCAAAAGAATTCCTGCTTTGTCCATTTTGCCTCCATTTTGCTTCCACTTGTGCTGACCTGGCCTCATAGCTCCTTTCGGCTGAATCCAAAGATTCACATTTCTGTGTCTCTCCAGTGATGGGCTTTCTTTCCTGTGGCTCCTAAATTCTCCAAGTTGAGCACAGCCAGATACGTGTCATAAGATGAAAACCGTCGTGCCTAAGAAACTTCTGGATCTCCAGGAAGTTGGCACAGAAAAGGACAGAGGGCGGCTTGAAGTCTAAACTCAAGCATCGTTGTCATGAAATTGTCATGAGGCCCACTGAGAAGGATCTGCCCCCTTTTATACTGACCGCAAAGCAACAGCTCATTAACGTGGCATCACGACAAGCCATGTGAGTGGCAGACGCCGTGCCAACTCGGGGCACTGTTTTATATTCAGCTAATGTAGACTTAATTTAGTTTCTTGGGATTAGAATGCTTCAATATTGCCTTATAAAAATATTCCATTCTGGTTCTCAGGCAGGGCATTGGTTCAGAAAAGCTGCAAGGTTTTAGCTGCTAGTTTCTTTTGCATTCCTGTTTTTGTCTGTAATTTCTAAAGGCTAGTAAGTAGACATGGCACTTTACAAATACACAAAGACAAGGGCTTGGACTTCGGTCAGAAAAACACAACCCAAATGAAAATAATCCAAGCAGAAGCAGTGACAGTTTGGGGGACAGGCATTGGCTTTAGAAAGTGAAATTTAAAGTATTTGTTTTTGTTTTTGTTTTGAAATGGGAGTGATTTGAAAAGAAGGAGCAGCCGAGTCCTGAGGTTGCTCTGTGTTTAATCTACAGGCTCTGGTCTCAGGAGGTCACTCAATTCAAAAGCAAAGTTGTTCGAACTGACCCCTCCTCTAAAGAAACTGCTTTCTATGGCAGACAGCTCCCTTTCTTCCAATGGCTTTGTGGCTGACCTCAGCTCCCCAGACAAGTGTAGGCTTAAATAAGATAATTGCTTTCTAAGGCAGTGTGCCTCCCTTGTAGAAAATCTTCCTGAACACAGAGCATACCTCTACGGAGAGGCGACCACACCTGAAGTCACATCCCTCATTGTTTCCTTTGCCTTCATCAGAAAGCTCTACCAACTACGCCAAGCAAAAGGCAGGCATTTAACTTCCTAGAAACAAGCCAGCTAGCTACCCAGCACTGTGGCATAGTCAGTTAATCCAAGACACATTTTTATGCAAACCTCAAGTTATAACCCACATGTGGTGGCAGATCGTTATCCCAAGACTCTAAATTGAACCAGTTATATAGTTGGAGGTGGATCTATCATAATCTGGAAAACTTTTCTTTTTACTGGTCTATTTTAACAAGTGTAGGGAGGAAATAAAACTCAAAAAGCATGAACTGTTTTACATCCTGAATTGAACTTTGATAAAAATGGAAATACTCCAAAATAAAGAAATATTGGCAAAAGAGGAGGGAAAGATACAAACAAATAAAGGAGAAAATGTGGAAATAAAAATGTTCTGGTATGGCTTTGACATTTCCTGATTTAGTTAAGAGAAAAATGACAGGATACACAATTACATAGCGATATGATCCCCAGTGAGGGGAAGACGTAGAGAGAGGGAGTCAGAGACAGACAGAGGTCAAAGACCAAAACAAAATGGATCAGAATAGACTCCAGTGTTTATCCCTGGGAATGGAGATCACAGGTGACTATCATTTTCTTTGGGCTTTTTTTGCGTTTTCCAAATGATGAGCACGTTTTTCTTTAACGTAAAAAATTAATACGTATAAAAAAATTGTTTCTGATTCAAAATGCAATGATCTTTAACTCCAAGTCTGAGCACGTGAGCTGATAGGGTTGTTAAAGGTGGAGTTTCCATGTGTGCTAGTATAACCCCAGCCAAGAGGGCCGGGAGCATACACAAATGCTCCCGTACGTTTCGTGTACTGCTCACGGATAAGTATAAAGATTTTTCCAGCCTAAACCTATTTTAACAGTTTCATTGCCCCAGGCTGCAGCAACAGATGACAAAATGTTTTTAGTGCTGACCTATTGCAAATTATTACCATTACCATTAGTGAACACTGTCTGCAAAGTCAATTCCAATTGTCGATGACAGTCGGTTTATACCTTATGTGCTACAAAATGTGAGCTTAACACAGTGGAAACTAGGGTGCTGTGTGCAGGCCAGGCTCACCTTAGTTGTCAGCTTTAACTGAATAGGTTGTTTCAGGAGCCATGATCTCCAGATTCTGGGCCATTCCAGTGCCTGGAGAAGCTAGAGATGGGAGAGCATGCGGAAATTTGCTCCAAGCGTCTGGTTCTATCCACATTAAGCTGGCTGCACAATGTCTCCTCTGTACACCTTTCTATTTTCTTGGCATTTATCCCCTGGATTGCTTTGTGGATAAAAGACACCCTCAGAGGCAGACCCCAGATAGTTATGCTGGCCCACTGCCTAAAGCTATTCACTCTATTTGTTTCTCTACTTGAAAATACTTGAATTAGAGATTTTAGGTGAACAAGATCCTTTCCATAGAAATGTAAATACCTCAAATAGGTTATGAGCCATCAGTCCTTCAGACCTGAGCATAAACCTATTTGATCAGATTGCTTCCCTTCTAACACCTTGTTAGCTAGATTGAGAAATGGAACTTTTGAGAAATGGAACTTTTGATGATCTATAAAGGATGCTAAGTGGAGGGCAGGGATGTAAAGACATGGCTTGAAGATTAAGGCAGCAGATGGGCACTCTGACTCTAGGGCCTCCACCTCAAACCTCTAATCCTCCCTCTACCCTCCGACTTTGCTTTCCTCCATCAACTTCATCAGCTCCACCAGTAATCCAACCTCTGGCACTGGGCACTGCGTTCGTCCTCCACTGTCTTTCCCCCTGGGGCTAAGTCCTCTGCCTGCTGGATCTCTGCCTTCCCAGTAACCTCACTTTAGCTCCTTCCCTTTGTCTCCAGCATCTTCAGCCTCTCTCACTGGCTCCTTTAATCTGTTTTGTCATTTAAACAAACAAAAAATACTCTCCCTAAACCCACATCCCAGTCCAGCTTTGCTTCTGGGAGGAGTTGCCAGTACTCCTTGATTTTCTCGCTCTCACCTTCCACTCCCTCAACCCTTCCTTTGTCTTCTGTTTACCTCCCCACTATGAAACTGCTCTTGCCCAAATAACCAGTGATATTGTGATGAAAGCAATGGAAACTTCGGTTCTTGACTTATATGACCTCCCCAAAGCCCTTACCCCTGGTGACCTCTTTCTGTTGCCTCGACTTTTTTCCTTGGCTTCTTTGGTCCTACTCTCCACGGGTAACTCAGTCCCCTCTCACTATCCACACGCTGATGACTCCCATGTCTGTACTCTCAGCCTAGACCTACCTCCTGAGCTACATGCCCCAATCCCACCGTCTATAGGACAACCTACATCTCACAGACATGTTAATCAACATTTCCAAAATGGAACCCATCACATTCTCCCCTTCCCCACTAGCCTGATGTCTCTTGTCCTGGGAACTTTGTCCCTGAAGATTCCTCTGCTTGGAGAGTGCACCTCTTTTCCTTGACCCTCTGACGCCTTCACCTGGCTGTTATTCATCCTCTAGGTCTCAGGTTAGATGTCACTTCTTCTTTCTTGATACTTCAAGTCTTTCTTGATACTTCAAGTCTGAGTCAGGTGCTCCTATGGTTTTGGAAGCTCCCACTTGTAATCTTTTATTAAATCATCTATCCTTCCCACTGAAATATTCACTCCCTGAGGGCCGGGATCTTTCAGTCTTGTCCATTATTTCCCTTGGCCCAACATGGTGTCTGGCACATAGGATGTTCAATAAAAAATTTATTTAAAAATATAAAACAGCTCATTTCTAACACTCAGGCAGCCAGGAAAGGGGAGATAGGGGTGTCCTCCTGTCTAGCGACCCTTCCCCCATAGTCCCTGTTCATGAGATCCAGGCTTCACCACCCAGGCAAACACCCTTTGCCCCACTAGTCAACTTAATCGTGGGCTGTGCAGCCTGGTGTGAACCCATTCTGGCACTCTTTTTGAGATGAATAACAATTTTTTTTTCTAGGAGAAAATATATTCTTAGTTCTTAACACTGACTTTAAAATAGCTTTTGTAATATATATTTTTTTAAGTTGAAGACTATCTCCACCACATGTAAATGTGGATCACTCAGCACAAATTCATCCTAGGTTGGTTCTTCCAAGTAAAATAAATAACTTGCCACAGGATAATTCTTTAAAGCAATTTGGTTTATGTCTTAGCTCTTGTTTTCCTTTTGGAATCTAACTTTGCTACAGAAAAATGTTCAATTCCAATATGGTCATTTTGAAAATGCATTTTTAAAGTTCCAAAGGCTCAATAGTTTTTCCTTTTGCTTTGGCTGGTTATGAATATTTATAGGTCCAAAAACATAACCTTTGATGCTTTAATTAATGCTTACAAATACATTATGAAAGAAAGAAAATATTTTAATGAGTTTATATAAGTGAGTCATATGATTTCTCCAACTGAAGCCACAACACACAACACCCTACACTGTAGGACATCTGTTTGTCTCTTTCGAAAGTTTTAGTATAGCATTTTGACAGCAAATTTGAAAATAACAGAGATACACTCACCGCCATGTTGGCAAAAGGTTAGTCCTGGGCCCTTTCTTCCTCGATCCTTATATCAAAGGACAGCAAATAGGATCTGTTTATGAGATCCTATTACGTTTTTAAACCAATGATGGGGGACATCATGGCATCTCTGGCCAAAGAAAGGTATTCACTGTGGGAATAATAAGAAATGTAAAGAAAATGAAGAGAAATTGGGCAGTGAAGAGACAAATTATTCTGGCTTTGTCTGCAACTGTTGGTTAAGATTTGTTCTTGGCATCACGTGAACACTCTTCCTCCCAAGAGAACTTTCAAGAAAGTACCTCATTGTACCGCTCAGATAATCACGACCTGTTAGCCCCAACGCTGGGAATGCTTTATGAGTACTTTTTGTTTCTCCTTCATTTTTCATGCTCATTTCACAAGGGCTTGCTCTTGACCTCATCTTGCTTTTCATCCTCATTTTGTCTCTAGGGTGGATAATTGTGTGGAATATAGGTCAGAGGCAGAACCTGCCCAATTTCTCTGTGTCCTGGGATTTCCAGCCTCCATCATGTGGGTCCTGATCGGAGGTTTCTCTTTAACCTCCACCACCCACTGATCATAAAGGAAAGCATCCTGTTCTCCTTATTCTATCAGAGTTTCTCTTATCTTCTGCAGCCCCCTGCATGGTGCTGAGAATGTAGTAAATGTCCCATCAATATTTAAGTCAGTGCTACTCAGTATTGTTTGGGAACTGGCAGCATTAGTCTCACTTGAGAGCTTGTGAGAAATGAAAATTCTCAGGCTAAACCTGCTGAATCAGGATCTCTGAGAGCGGGGCCAGGAGTCTGTGTTAATAAGCTCTCCAGGTGATTCCTACACAGTGTGAGAACCACTGTCTCAGCTGACAGCTGTGAATGAAGGGCAGTGACGGAGATTATCTGTGCTCTTTCCAGTTCCCAGAGGAAGGCAATCAAACTCCTTGGCAGCAGGTGACAAGGCTCTCCTGGCCAAACAGGCAGCATCTACCTCAGCCAGTGGTCCTAAACAGACCATTTTCTAAAATCATCAGTAAGGATTAAGGACCAAGCTTTACCAGCTGGGAGATTTCTCTTGAAAGTCTCAAAGTTTCTGTTCTTTTCTCTCACTGGGCCCCCTGCCCCATAACCACTTCGCAGCAACCAGTCCGATGTGCTCCCTATGTGGAGATGCCACATCCTAGTCTTTGCCCTCGTTCCTTTGTGGGTTTCTGAGTCTTCAGCAATCTAGAACTGACTCACACCCCCTTCCAAGGCTTGGCTCTGCCAGTGGACAAATATTTACTGAGCACTCGATGGCTGCAAGGTTTCATTAACTGACCCCTCTCCGTAAAACCTCCTCGGCGCACTGTTGCCCGTTCCCTGTGGAATCGCGTCTTGGTGACTGCCTGACCCACAGCAGGGCACTCAGTCATCGAAACTCAGGAAGCAATAGCTGATGCTCTTTAGCAGTCTTTGCTCTAATGATTTTCAAACTGTGTAGTAAAAGAACCATATTGGAATACCTACTCAGACAATGAAACTAAGCAATATTTTACCAGTACGAAAAATGCATTTTGAAGTTAAAATGAAGTTAAATTGTAGGTTAAGCAGTAAGTATAGTAAGTCTATTTCGATTCCCCAAATTGAAGTTAGATAAGAGCAGTCATGCCTGCCTCCGTGTCCATTTTATTTCTGAAATAGTTGGTTGCACAATATTGAGGGAGAGGAAAATCTTCATTCAGATAAGTAGTTACACATGGTAATAGTAAGTTTTTAGTATTTTTTTAAAGTTAACTTTTCTCGTAAGCTGGGGGTACTCTTTCATTAGATGGCAGGACAGCTTTATCCAAGGTTTACTCACAAGATGTTTATATGGCTTTATAATGAACACACTGGCAGTCTTCAATGTGTTAAAATTTGGCATGTGTAATATTTGATAGTCCTTTTTTTATAGAGTTGGAAAAATATTTTTAATGCAAATTAAATCAAATGTCTGGAAACTCGCAAAACTTTTGCAGCCCTCAGGGCTCTACAAAGCACAGCAGTCACTTTACAGATGAGAGACAAAGATGAGAGGGTGAAGTCACTTACTTAGGTCCTGTGGCTTTTCGGTGTCAGAACTGGCTGCATCTCACGTCGCCTGACTCCGGGTTTTTCTTCCAGGTTTCACATGGATATCTGAGCCCCTCATGTAGATTCCAAGTGCCTTTTGCTCAGGGCCGAATCTTCCAGAGTGGGAGCTCTGTTTACCCTGCTTAAATGAATTACAGAGTGGAATGTCCCTCATCTTCAGC